GTGTGTGTTACCTTCTAGGTTATTTAATATTCTCTTCTTTCTTATTTTTGTTGTTTTCATTCTGAACATGGTATTTCAACAGATTTGTCTTCAAGCTTGATAATATATTCTTCTGCTTGCTCTAGTCTGATTTTGAGATTTTTAATGAGTTTGTTAATTTGCCTTCTTGAGCTCTTTGTTTTCATGATTTCTATTTGGTTCTTTTTCTTTTTTTGGTTCTATTTCTTTGCTGAATTTCTCATTCATATCCTTCATTGTCTTCCTAATTTCATTGAATTGTTTGTCTATATTCTCTTGGATCTCATTGAACTTTTAAAAAAATCATTCTTGAAATCTTCAGTAGGCATTTCATTCATTTGAATTTCTTTAGAATCTGTTACTAGCATTATGATCTTTTGGAGGTGTCATAGTACCTTTTTTTTTCTTGATTCTTACATTTGTACTTATGCATTTGGAGGGTCATGTATCTCTGCCACTTCTATGGTGTTGTTTTCATGGTAAGTGATTTTCTACTAAAAATGCATCTTGAGGCATCAGTTTGTTATATAATTTTGTGCTTATTTCCCTGTAAGTACCTGGTATAATCTCCCTGTAGCTTTTTAAGGTTGTGGTTAACGAGTTTGGCCATAGCCTACCATATCAGAGTCAGAAAGGTCCACTGTTTTGCAGGTCATGAAAAGTTGGGATAATTTAGCAGTTAAGGAACATATAGTGTAGATAGTGTGTATAAACTACATGCTATGTGACTACTCCCACAACAGGAGTGGTGGCCCCTCTCAGGTGATGGGAGTTTCCTTAAGGTGCTGTTGATAATTGTCTTTGTTACTTGTAAGGGTTTTTGGCTGCACCAGCAAGGGTGAGGGGCCTGATGCACTAGTTCTCTGATCACACAGTGATGCAGATCCAGGTGCTTCACAGGGAGGTGGTGGCAGGAATCTCAGTACTTCTTCTGTGTCTATCCAGAAGCAGAACCCCCGATACTCCCTAGCCATGTGTGCCTGGGAATGGACCATTACCTGGACATTTTCACCTCCATACTTTTTAAGCTGCCGTTTCCGCAGGGATCAAACAGAAGTGGGTTGTGCCTGGAAGTGGGCAAAATTCCTCTTGGGGACTCCCTTGGCAGTGTGCACCAAGGGGCTGGGTGACAGCCAAATATTTTCTCCCTCTGCCTTATTTTTTTTAGCTGTAGTTCCTTAGCTGTTCATTGTGAAGGCCACCCATAAAAGTTGTAGCAATATCTGATTCACCAGAGGCATAAATACAAATGTAGGAATGAGCAGGAGTGAGTTGGGACTGGTGTTGTGAAAAACTCCTCTCAGTGGAGGTGGCTGAAGGAGCAAATGAGTGCAGAATGCAGCCACACCAGGCAAGGTTCTTCCTGGACATTCTTAGGTTGTACACTGCTTTGGGGATGCAGCAACAGTCAGAACCTTGTCAAAAAGCAAGTCATGGAGTTGCTCAAGACTACCCCAGATGCCCGTGTTGACAAGGCAGTAATGCAGCTACAGTCTTTTCCCTAAGCCTATTAGTGACAAGTTCCCCTACATGCAGTGGGGCAGAGAGGAGGCAGGAACAGAGTGGGTAGTTGCTTTTGGTGTAAATTTGCATGTGACTACTCATGTACCTGTTCTCAGAGGGTAAACTCCATAGTCCTCTGGTTCTTGAACATGACAACCTTCATTACCCTTTGTGTCACAACACCTGTCTACTACAGCTCAAGGCACCAGTGAATTTTAGTCAGAGTTACTCTGTTGCCAAGTTTGGTTTGCAAGGCAGCTATCTGCTTAGCCAGTGCTATGGAATGTCTTTTGAGTCCCAGAGATGGGAATATGCACAGACTTCTCACTTCCAGAGCAGTGGACATTCAGCCAATAGGTTCCTTCTCAAGATGGCTCCTGGCTTCAGCAATGTCGGGGTTCCCTGGTACATTATGTGAAATCCTTTTCCAAAGCAAGGCTACTATGCTGATTTCAGATTACTAGATAGGCTACAAGTCTCTGAGAGTTGTGAAGCTTTCCAGGAGTTAGGATTGCCAGTGTCTGTGCTGACAGAGTTTTCTGGGATACTTTTCTTCACCCTTCCCTCTGCAAAAGGGAGATTTCCCCTCCCTTGGCTGTGGAGCTAGGGTTATTCTATGTGGTTATTCTAGGATTTGAATCTTACAAACTTTCCATTTTTCTCCTTTTGATTTCCAATGTTCTCCCATGATCACTTACCTCAAAATGCAGTTATTCCACCTGTTGCTTTGATTCTTTTGTGTGGAAGAGCAGGTGAGCTGGGTGGCTCTATTCAACCATCTTCCTCTCCTTCTTATTGATGTTTTCCTAATTTGGTGATTATCATCACACTTATTTAGCTCAGACTGCTTAAGATTATTATCCAGGGTAAGTTGTGTGGTGAATGAATGAAAGTTGCACAGAAATAGCTAAAAGTTACAAGTCCCTTTAATGTAGGTGAAAAATACAATTCTATGCACAGAAGTACACTATTCTCAGCTAATTGCCAGACTATATTACCTTCAAATTCTTCCATAAATGGATACTTCCTCATCAGGGGCATTTTGAGAACTGCTCCTTGCCCTTTAATTTGTGATGGCAAACTCTCCTGGCTCTGCCCAATTGTTTTGGTGACTTTGGCTGTGTACCTGATTGTCTACCAGGCATAAGAGATTAATAATAATCTAGACTCTTTTCTGAGTGCCTCCTAAAGGACTCAAATGTCCAACCCGTGGTGTGACATTACTTAGCAGGTAGAAGTGTCACACCTTCTTAAGATGTGTTATCACATGGTCTCAGTAAACTCCTTTCATCAATAATGTTAGATAGGGTCCTATGTTGCTGGAGACTTATTTTTTTGGAATGTGTTAATATATTTTATCTGTATTCAACACCCTAACCAGAGAAGGTTTTCCAGTGAAAATGAACTCATCTTTTCTATTTACCTTTAACCTCATTTGCAACAAATGGCCAAATTAGTCAATTATCACTCAGTTAAGGTTGAGGTGAAGTATTTAGGGAAAATCATATTCTGCCCTCTTTTTCCATTCACCTTAAATTTGCTTTGAGGCATAAGCTAGATACAGAATATATATTTTAAAGACTTCTAATTTTTTTACCCTTGTTAATATCTTTGGTTGCTCTATTCCAGGTTTAATGTGGATTTAATGACTAATGAACTGATATAATACCCACCACAGAGTAAAGTTAGTAATTCAACAAATAATGTGAAATATTCTTTGAGATACACTGGCACAATTTATTGAGCTATGTGCCTGGAACCATGCCCCTTATAAAAAACTCATAAGGTAGGTACTTTATTAACTTTATTTTATTGATTAGGCCCTGGAGCTTATAGCAGTTAAGTTCTGAAAGTAGGTAGTCTGTGTCCAAAGCTCACACTCTGTAGTTCACACTGTACTATACTGCTTACTTTGCTTTCTAGCTAGAAAAGGGAAATTAACTATGTATTTTGTTTTAGCTGTACTATTATGGAAGCTAAACTGAATAAAGTAAAAAGTGAAAACCTTGCTGGTTTTAGCTATGACATATAAAGAACTTGAAAGGAAGTCATCATTGCTGTCCTTACAACAGGAAAATGCTGGGCAAACTGAAAAATCAATGAGTTTTCTTAGACGATTCAGAGCAATGCGATTGCAAACTAAAGCATGACCATGAAATCTGAAGAGACAGGTGAATATAGGGACACAGCTGAGCTTTTTACATCTCGAGCAGAAGATGCTGGAGCAATAAATGGGCAGGAACACTTAAAGGGTGATTTTGGTAAATTGGTAGAAACTGAGTGAGAACTAGCAGAGAGTGAAAAAGTCTGGGGGCCCATGTCTTACAGGAGTCCCCCACAGTCAGGGGCTTTGCCTGTAGCAGCTACGCAGGTCCTCACAGTGGAACTTCCCTCTTGAACATGCAGAGGGTGGTATAGAGAGGGAAGTTTCCCCACCCTAATCTCATCTAGCCTTCCAATCTCTTTTATTTCCAGGATTTCTGTTTGATTCTTTTTTTCTGAGGTTTTCCATATCTTTGTTCAACTCTTCTTTCAGATTTTGTGTTGTCATCTTTAATTCATTTATCTCTTTTTTTATAGTGTCCTTTGTTTCACTTTGGTGTTTGATGAAGTCCTCTCTGAGTTCCTTCATTTGTTTCTGTGTCTTCTCATGTTCCTTATTTTTGGTGTCTTGAAATTTCTTGAGTACATCTTGTACATTATGGTTAACTGTGTCTAATATCTTCTCCATAAATTTCTCAGGGATTTCCTCTTTGAGGGTTTTTTGTGGGTGTCATTGGGCTCCTGAGTGACATTTATCATTGCTTTGTTGGGGTCAGTAACTGGGTATCCATTTTCCTTGTTTCCCACTGAATCCTGTATTGAATTATCTTTTGAGAAGAGTGGGTTCCATCCCTTCTTCTTCTTCCCATCGCTCCATTTGGTACTGTGCTACTATGTTCTTGATAAGGTAGTTTGGTGTTTTTAATTGCCTGTTTTCTTTCCCTTTATTTAATTTTTGTGTTGTAACTGACTTGGTTGTTAGCTAAGTTGATGTGCTCTTTCTGTCCCTGGCCTGGAGGTGTAATTTAGCAGTAACAAATTCACAGGTTCAATGCCAGACCAGTTGTTTACATATTACATAGTAAACCCCTCAGTGATAATATTTATAAACAGTGGGAGTTGGGGGTAATTATTATTAGGCTAGATATAGAATTTTGGGTAATTGGTAAATGCAGCACTAAAAAGTGGTGGGGGAAGTGGTATGGGGGCTCCTGGGTTTTGCGGCCTTTTGTGTGTTTGGATATATTTCTGTTGTTGTAGTGGAGGGTGTTTTTGTCAGGGATTGCAGGGGGATGGGGTTGTGTGCAATTGGTACAGTAGGCCAGACAGTTGGTGGTGAGTGTGCAGGAGGGAAGGGTAGGGTGGTGACAGGTTGGGGAAGGATAGAAGGGGGAGGTGAAGACAGGGGGAAGAGTGGATGGGAAGGGGCAGAAAGAGTAGTTGGGAGGGGGAACAATGGATTGCAGCATAGGAAAATGAGGGAAAGTAAAGGGAATAAGAATAGGGATAAGAAAATAGTGATGGTGAAGTTCATAATGTAGAAAAGGAAAACCACACAACAAAAACACCAGGTGCAAGAACAACAAAAAGTTCAGTCTTTTGGTTGAAGTTCTGTAGCTATTCCTTAGGTGTCCAATTCTGGTATTGGTGTACAAGAAGTAGTTCTGATGTAGTCTCACCACGTTACTGGCTTGTGAGTAGGATTTGGTTCCTTCTGTTCATAGGGTTAGTTGCAATTGGAAGGTGAGGTAGGTCTGCCAGTTCATGCAGGGTGGTCAGAGCTGTTGTTTTCACCAGGCAGCATCTGTGTTGCCCTTTAGCCGTAACTTTTATGGTCAGCTCTTCCCCTAGCAAGGTGGGGCAATTCAATTTTGAATATTGCCCTCTGTCCCATGAGATTAGCTCAGGGATCCACCGCTTGCCTTGCTTTGGGAGGTTGGCTTGTTGTCCCACCCCCACTCTCAGCCTTTGTTGCTTTACCTGTGTTTGTTCACTGAGAGTTTGGCTCCTTGCCCCACCTCATTCTCTGGGGTAGGTTCAGCATTCAACCCCCACCTCTGCTGTCATTGTTAGGTTGGGGGGGGTTCAGTCTGCCCAGGGGCTGCACTGGATTATGTTTCTGGAGGTGAGTAGGGATAGGTGGGTAGGGGAATTGCACATGCTACATGATGCTTACCTGTTTGTTCTGCAGATTCACACAAGCAGCTTTGAAACTGGCTGGTGGGGAGAAATGGCATGGTGTAGGAAGGCTTTCCATGGGTTAGGGGGTCCAGGATGTTGCAGAGTTTGATTCTGATTGATGCTCTGTCTTCTACTTGTTGGGAGAAAAAGAAGAAAAAGAGAGGGAGAGAGAAAAACAGACAGCAGGCTCTTTTCCCAGGGCCAGACATACTTTGTGGCTGTCCTTTGTGGGATTTTCACTACTTTAGGCTGATTTAAAGGTCAGTCTTTGAATTTTATGTGCACCTAATGTGATGGCAGTTATTACTTTGGATAGAAGCAATCAGAATTACCCAAGTGTAGCTCCGACATGTCAAGGTGGTTTCTGGAGTCAGTGGAGTTTAAGATTTCTGCTTCCCTGCTCTAGCCACCATCTTGGATCCTCAGTCAATAAGATCAATTTAAAAAACAAAACATACAGCCCTCACTGTGACCTCCAGTTAGAACAGTTACTTAATAGTAAACAACAAAAAATGAGCATCTAACAGAGCAGGTTTAAAAGTTCACACCCTGGTACACTGTAGGTTTCTAATCCACTGTGTCTTCTTGGAAATCCAGCACCAGAGGTGCAGATGGGAAGTTTGAACTGGGTCCAACTGGAAAAGCCAAATCTCTTTTAAAGGGTAATGGGGCAAAATCAATTTGGGTCAGGAATTTAAGGAAATAGGTTGGGAGTGTTGTAGCCAGAAAAGGGACTAGAGGTCTGGGCAAAGGGAAAGATGTATTGCTCTACTGTGGAAAGCACCAAGTCTCCATGGGTTCACTAGACAATTCTACCAAACATTTGAGAAATAACAGCAGTTCTCTACAATATATCAGAAAAAAGAAGCAGAGGGGCATTCCTCAATCCATTGTGTGAGCCCAGAATTGCCCAGTACCAAAATCAGATAAAGACATTACAAGAAAAGAAAACTGAACTAAAAGGGCTAACACATATCAATTGCTGGCGAGTAATTCACAGGTAGCTTAAGAAGACATGATGACTAAGTCTAATGTGGCATTCCAAATGGATCCTGAAACAGAAAAATAAAATGAGGATAAATCTAAGTGAAATATGGACTTTAGTCAATAGTAATGTATCAATAATTGTTTACTAACTTTGGCAAATATATAAGATGCTAATAATAATAGAAATGGAGTGGGGGTATACTATCTTTGCAACTTTTTTTGGAATCTAAATTACTCTAGAATGAAAGGTAAAAAAATTACCTACAAATCTGTTTTTTTAGGTGTGTAGAAATATATTTTATTAATATTAAAGGTAATCACCCATAATTGTCAAAATTATGAAGTTAATCAAATGCTCATTAAGTGTAGTTAAATAAAGGAAGACTGCTATTTTATTAAAATGTGGCATTTCTTTTCATGGAGGGAGTACATATGAATTTATTATGACTACATTGTGTTACAAAGAAGTGCTCTTGCATTTAATCCCCCCCAGGAAAATAGAGATGATGGATAAGTACAATAGAGGATATGCAGATTTACTTCTTGCTAAGTTAATATGGTAGGAGTCTGCTCTATAACAGGGACACTTCTGAAGCAAAGCAGATTAAAGGCTTCAGGGACTACCATTGCCATTCTAACCAGACTCCTCTTTCAATTGGTCTGGTGGATCTTCCTGGAAGGAACTTGAAAGAGGTAAAAGAGGTAAAAGAAGACTTTTTGTCCTCACCCACAGCAGATTCACTATTATTTACTACTTCAAAATTTTCTGTTTTCTCTCTCTCTCTCCCTCCCCACCTCTCTTTCCCTTTGTAATTGCCCCACAATTCTTGAATATTGTGTTTTCATTCTTTTTCCTTTCTCCATTTCAGTTTGGGAATTTCTGTTAACATACTTTAAGTTCATGGATTCTTTCCTTGGCAGTGTTCAGTCTACAAATGAGCCTATCAATGGCATTCTTCATTTTCTATTAGTGTTTTTGAGTTCTAGCATTTCTTTTGGTTGTTTCTTAGAGGTTCCATCTCTCTGCTTGTTTTAGTCCATTTTAATTTTTGCTATAATAGAATACCTGAGACTGAATAATTTATAGAGTTTGACTTTGACTTAATGGTTCTGGAGTCCAATGTCAAGTGGCTACACCTGGTCAGGGTCTCATGGTGCTTCATGTCATGGCAGAAAGCCACGGGGGAAAAGCACAAAAACAAGGGGCGGTCTTGCTTTATAACAACTGCTCTGGTGAGAGAGAGCCAGCTCCAATGAGAGAGGCATTACAGTGCATCTCAATGACCTAATCACCTCATGAAGATCCCACTTCCAATCAGCACATTACACTGGGAATAGATTTCAACGTGAGTTTAGGAAGAGACAAGCTATGGTAAACCACAGATGTGCCTATGTTTCTCAGCTGTTCCTGCATGTTGTCTACTTTCCCAGTATTGACTTTAGTATATTAATCATGGTTATTTTAAACTCTGATACTTATAAAATCTCTGTCCTACCCTGGTTCTGATACTTCCTTTGCCTTTTAAGACCATGTTTTGCCTTGTGGTTTTCTTTAGAAAGCCAGACATGAAGTAT